CCAATTATACATCACTAGTGAGTGGCTATGCTGGGATTTGAATCCAAGAGAATGAACCAGAATTGGTTCATACTTGGACTCCCCTGCCTGTGAATGTCAATGAGGCTGTTTTCTAGAATGCAAGTTGGAACTCTGTGAAGTAACAAAGAGAGCCTTGCCAGTCATGGAGCATCTCTTGTCAGCTGGCCCAGCCCTTCTCCTTCTGACCACCATCAGTAAGAACAGTGGCACCGCCAGTGTCATGATCAGTGGCCTAGAAAAACACAGGGGCCTCACTATGGGCCCCTGGTACTGTTTATATGAAACTGCTCAGACCATGTCCCTGGGATGCCCAAAGCCCTGGCCAGTTGTTAAGGGAAAATGTCAGCCAGTGCTCCATTCTGGTCACCATCTGTACACATTCTAGAAGACAAACAGTCCATTTTAGCTGATGACCAACTTAACTTTGAGACTGAAGAGTCCAAGCCCTATTTGTCAGTACTCACATTCCTCTTATTTGCTTTAGGTCCAGGGCCCGAGTCCAGAGCAATCCTACACTTAACTTTTTATCTGCATGGCCAAGGTGCCCAAGTGGATGAGATTACATGTGAAATTACCTTTGTAAACACTGACAAAAATATTACTATTCTGTTACCTTGAGTTTTCTGACCCAACAAATTGAATGGGGAGGGTTGTCTTTAATTTTTGCTGAAGGGGATAGCAATCCAATGTATTTCTCAAGCGTTACTAGGAGCCCTAGAATATCCAAATGAAAAAAGACTTTATTCACTTATTCAATCATTGCTTCAGTCATCAAATATTGTTTGGTCATCTGCCATGTTTCAGGAATTGTTGGGTGTCCAGGCATGATTCTTATTAATGCAAAGCTTATGGTCTAGTTGGGGAGGCAACTTCATAAAACAATTCTATCTAAAATTGCAACTTTGAAAAATATTATGGAAGAGAAGTATGTGAGCCAATGAAAGCATTTAATTAAGGGGCTTGACTCAGTTATGAGGGTCATGGCAGGCTTCCCCAGGGAAGTAGCATTTTAGTAGTGAGATGGAGAATGATGGTGTGTAGTGGAGAGAGAACTCAAGGTAGAAGGAACAGCATATGCAAGGCCTGAAGTTTGAAGATAATATGGCTTGTAAGAGTGGAAGGAAGATCAGAGTAGTTGGATCATTGAGTTTAAGAGAGGGTAGGATGAGGTGATACTGGAGAGCTGAGCAAGAACCAGATCATGGAGGTACTTGACGCCAAGTTAAAGATACTGCTCAGTCTCCTGAGAACAACGGGAAAGCACTGAAGATTTTTAAGCACCATGGTAACGTGATCACTGTTGTCACTGTAACAGAGCATCTGTGGAGGAAAGAATGGAGGGAGGAAAAGGCAGGTTGAGTGCGGGGTTGGGGAGTTCAGATATATCATTTAAGCTGTCAAGGGGAGAGATGATGGTGGTTTGGCCTAAGATGGTGATATTGCAGATAAAGAGAGCACAGGAGGCAACTCCACTCTGGGGAGATTTAGGAAGGTTCATTGGCAAGACTTGGAAATTTAAAAAATTTTAATTTGTTCTTTTGGGGGAAAGGAAAGGAGGTGCCAGAGATGAAGTCCAGATTCATGGCTTGTGTGGATAGATGGATGTTAATCTCACTCACTACCATGAGAACATTGAAAAAAGACCAGGTTTGTGGCCTTCATTAGTCAGCTTAGGCTAGGTTATTCTGAGGTAATCAAATGACCCTTAAATCTCAGTGGCTTACAAGAACAAAGTTTTATTTATTGCTATGCTATATGGCCACATAGGCCAGCTGCATTTCTGTTCCATATCATCTTTACTCTAGGACCCAGGGTGATGGAGCAGAAGCTGCTCATAGGGCAGAGGGAAACGAGATGAGGCAAAGTATGTGCTGGTTCTTAAAGCTTTGGAAATGACACACATCACTTCTTACTTTTCATAGGACAAAGCTAGTCACATAACCATGCCTGAGCATACAATTCACCTACAAGAAGAACACTTCAGGGTAGAAAACAACTATTTTGAACAGTAAAATCTACTGAAGGGGAATTTAATCTTCAATATCTGAAAAATACAGATGATGGTAGTAAATTTACTTCATACGATTCTCATGATGACTGAATGAGTTAATGCACAGAAAGTCATTAGAACATTCATACAACATACCCTGTGGTTTAGAAAGGAAAAGGAGTTTCCCCAGTAATACCTGTTAATATGTACACCCACTCTACCTAACTCTCAGGTATGTGGTAAAAATAAAATACCATCTGGCAAACATTTACTGAGTTTTATACTATGTACCAGGCACTGTGCTGAGCTGAAATTCAGATAGGAAAACTTCCCCTTTAAGGAATTTATGGTATAATAGGGCAAAGTGATGTGCCAGCAAGTGAAAAACCCAAGGATCATGTAAGAGTGCTAAGTCAGAGTGGTCAGTTTTGGACTTTCATTTTTCCCTTTGGATGAAGAAACATGTCCGGAATCACCAAGATTTCTCATAAGTGGGAATTCTTGACTTGGGTCTTAAAGCCTTAAGGGGTTCATTAGATAGGCAGTATGGGAAGGGCATTCCAGGAAAGGGGAGCAGCATGTGCACTCAGGGATTCAGAGCTGCATGATTCATTTGTAAACTCTATATAGTGAGTGAATTAGGCTCCACCAAGCACCCAACTTTTCCATTCTTGGACTTACCAAGCCTGCTGGGTTATCAGGGTTTGCCTAATAATCTGACTTCACTGAAACCTCTCAGCTAGCTGCCTGACTCTTATTTTGTTCAGTAGATATTTGAGCTGAGTGTGGGGTGAGGAGAAAGAATTAACCTCAGTTGGAGAATAGTTTTTGCATAAAGTAGAGATACTGTTGACAGTTATAATGGGGAAAGGAATCTTGAGGAAATATTTTGAAAGGAATTTTAAGGGCCAAATAACACAGAGTAATCCCTTTTTCAGTCTTTCTATACAGACCTTCAGTATAATTCAGCTTTATTGTTTGACTGCTATAGGTAATAGATTTGAGTGTCTATATATTTATGTATATGTGCGTGTAAGTATGTGTGTGTTGGGAGGAACTGATATGTTGAACTTGACTGTGATAGAATGGCAGGCTGGCCATGGAAGTTCAGGTGCATTTGGGTCCCATATTAGCACCTCAGTGTTGTTAGCATGTAAAATAAAATGTAGGCAGTGTTAGGTTATGAAAATGTAGAAGCAGGCAAGACCTATTGTGAAAATGGCCTTGAACATCAAACTAAGAACTTGGACTTCAGCACTCAAAGTTAAAAACTATTTATTAGTACACAGGATCAATGTCCTATGGGGGACTAGAGAAAGAACTGCAATCCCTTGATAAAGATGGCTAAGGTGTCCTCACATGACCTCAAGAGAGCCTGCCAACACTGGTGTGATTGTGGAGTGAGAGAAAAAGGAGAATTCTGTTCAGTTTCAAGATAAACAGTATTGCTTAAAAAAAAAAAAAAAAAACCCTGCCATATCTCTCTGTGTGGTGTTGCCATGGAAAGAACTATTTTCATCAGATGTGAGAACAGGAAGCCACATAAAACAGAGAAATGGCCAGAATGCAGGCTTGAAATATCCCTGGGCTGCCCTAACTTAGCAGCATTTTTAGAGAGGGCAGTTTCTTCATGTTTATATGACAAGAATGAGAAAAATGAAAGGTCTCAATGACCTATTCCTTCCATTTTTCCCTTTGAACAAGAAAGCATGCCTAAAATCTATGGAATGGAGGAAATATTCCAAGTAAATGACAACTTGCTGAATAAAGAATGGTCCCAGATGGCATATCTGTGACCTCATGCCCATCACCGCCTTTCCCTCCCAACACCACTACCATCTTTGAATAATATAGAATATCTCATTGCCTTCCTGTTAAATGTATGCATTAAAACCGTTTGATCAGTTGTGGTTGACTTTTCAAGGGGCATATTATGCTCCGGCAAAGTATGAAAGACGGTAATAGGACATACAGATCTTTCCAAGAAAAATATATTTTAAAAAGAAGCACATTCACAATGTTGGAAAAAAGAAAGCATAGTCAGAACTTGGAATGAGGTGCTGGAGCCACCTTATGTGTCTGAGAAAATGATTGGTGCCAGGGTAAGTAGTGAAGTTACGGGTTGGGACAGGAATTTGCAGTGTTGGGACTCTGGGAGCTGAAGGCTTCTGTCGAATGCACCAGAAACCAGGGAAGCAAATAATATTTTGTTGGCATGTCTGGCTCCTCTGTGGCCCTGTGGGTGGGATCTTAAAGTGGACACAGTCTCTGAGGTTGAACAAGGGAAGGACTGGCAATTTTAGGCAGCAAAAGGTTAGGATAGTAAGTCTTGTATTTTCTGAACAACTTTTGGGGGAAACAGACCTTCACTTGAGGATTGAGTGTGAAGAGGCAACCATTTCAGAGACCAGACACTCAGATACCAACCAAATGTTATTTCCTGCTTGTTGCATGCAATTACTCTTAGTAACCTCTTGATTGCTCACATTAATAAACCTGGGTTAGAAGGGCAGAGTACAGACTAGACAGTTGATAGAAAACAATTCTGTCTGGTGTGGGAATGTGGGGTATGACTATTTTCTCATGGCTGGCGATGTTTCTTCTTAAAGTTTTGCTTAACACATGAGGCATATGGGTTTGCTTTCTCTGGATAGCTGCAGGTCCAGGAGAAAGGGGGTACAGAAGCCACTCAAATGCCTGGGTCATGTTGGAATGGCATCCAATTTAATTGGACAAACATTAATTGAGCACCTACTATGTTCAAGGCAACACACAGGACAAAAGAATACAAAGAACAGCAGCATGTCATCCCTCCCCTGAAGAATTCACAAGCTATAGTATACACAGATCCACAAATAGCTGTGATTACTGCTAGAACTCTAAAACAATGATGTGAGGTGCTGGGGCTGGACATTGTTTATGTATGTGATCTCATTTAGTTTTCCCAGGAATTGTGTTAATTGATGCTATTATGATTTCTATTTTTCAGATGAGGAAACTGAGGCCCAGAAAAGCTAAACATTTCCTGAGCACGCATAGCCAATAATTGTTGGAGCCAGGATTCAAACTGTCTGATTCTGAGTTGGTGCTCTTTCTGTAACCTCACCTTCTGCAGTGAGATCAGAGAGGAGCAGGAGCACTGATGGTGGGGATGGAGTAGGAGCAGAACTGACTCTGTCATGGGCTGAGGTGGGGGTTGTGGCAAGTTATGGAAAGAAGATGACACTGGTTGAGACCCTGAAGAATGAATGAAGTTCATTAGGTTACCTAAGGGTGTAACAATGGGGAAGAGCATGACTCCACTAGAAGGAAACTCTGCAAGGGTTTGGAGGCATACAAGGATAGAGTTGCAGGGAGTCTGTTATGGTCCTTATCTGGGCTAAGTTTTGGGGGAAGGGGCCAAAGATAACCATTTCATCTTTTTAACAAATATTTGAGTGCCAGGGCACCTGGATGGCTAAGTTGTTAAGCATCTGCCTTTGGCTTGGGTCATTATCCCAGAGTCCTGGGATCAAGTCCCACGCCAGGCTCCCTGCTCAGTGGGAAGTCTGCTTCTCCCTCTCTCACTGCCCCTGCTTGTGTTCCCTTTCTTGCTGTCCCTCTCTCTGTCAAATAAATAAATAAAATCTTTTAAAAGAATATTTGAGTGCCAATGTTGTGCCAGTCTCTGGTGGAGGCACTGGCCATATACTGGCAACCAAAATAGACAGGGGCCCTGTCTATATGGGGCTATCCTTGAGACAGACATTAAATGAATCTATGAATATCCCAACAAACCACATATCATACATATCAGCTAGTGAGATGCTGAGAATTTAAGTAGTACCATGAGAAATAGATCATGGGTTAGGCCCCTCTGACGAGGTGACCTTTAAGTTGATATCTGAAGACCAAGCATGAGCCATGGGGAAGGGCATTCCAGGTGGGGAGATAAGCAAGGGCAAAGGCCTATGGTGGGAAAACTGGGCCAAAGAATACATCGCAACCAAACCTACATTCCAGTGTGCGCTTATGTTTGTCATGTGATCACCCTAGGGGGCCGTGATGTTTGCCTCCAACAGGTTCATGCAGGAGGGCCCCATTTTGGAAATGTTCCTAATGTATTATGGGTTCCAAATTACATAGAAACCACTCACATGTTCAACCCAAATCCCTTCCCAAACGGACAGGCAGCCTGGAATGTTATTTAGGCCGTGCATTGTTAAGATGTGCTTGCTTTGTTTGTTCTGCCTGGGCCCTGTTTCCACCCTTTCCCATCTGAACAGTTCTGCCAGTGAGCAAATTGCCAAATTTTAACCAAATAGCACCAATTATGCTTCCCCCTTTATTTTCACTGTAGCCATGAAAAACAAAACTCCATTAATAATCTCCAGAGTGTTCCCTTTCTAAACCTACGTTAAATGAGGTTTTACCATTGGGATCATTTGAAGACTGTCTGTTTCCATTAATTAAACATGAACTTCTTTTCCCATCTACCCACCCTGCTCTTGGTTTGGAATGTTTCTTGGAAGTAATTTTTATTGTTTAGCAGGAAAATTGAGATGTACAGGCTGTTCAATTATTTCCTATTTACCCAAGAAAAAGCAGGTAGAAGCTATGAGGAAACAATGGAAAGTCACATCCTTTTCCCAGCCTCCATCCCCTCCCTTGTCCTATGCCTGCTCAACTTCCATGTCCCCTTCTGCTCCTTACTTCCGAGTAAGTGCCCTCCTCCTCCTTCCCCTGCCCATGGGGTGGTCATGTGACTCATTCCTGATGGCCATGTGACCCAGAGCCAACCAATCAGCCCCCTCACAGCCACAGGAATTGAGTCAGGCATGGACATGTGATCTGAGCCAGGTTACTGAGTGTCAGATCAAGGACTGGTGTTGAAAGATGGGGGTAAAAGCACCTTTTCTCATGGGGGGGCTATTGAGCTGGGAGCATTTGGGCTTGCAGCTCCTGTTGTCTATCTTGCAAAAAGCCTGGTCAAGGGAGAAACTGAGACAGATTCTTGAAAATATTTCTTGAATACTTAGATGCATCCATGTCCTGAAGCCAGTATAATCTCAGACTTCTCAATCATGTGAACCAATAAATATAATTTATTCTTCTCTGAAACTAGGTTGAATTGGGTGTCTGTTTTTTGCAACTCAAAGAGTTGTGTTGAATATGTATCCATAGCCACTATATTGCTCCACCTCTTGTACCCATCCCAACTTGGTTTTTCCTTTTCCTCATTCAGAAGACATTTATGGAGCCCCTACTGTATGCCAGACACATTGCCTTGGGAGCAATGACCCATATCCATTTCTCACCCACCCCCACTTTTCCTGGCAGGCAGAACCTCTAATAGTTTACATTTACCCTTCCCATAGAGCTATGGGTCAGGTGTGGTAACACTTTTTCCATTCCCCATGGTCGATTTAGTTCAAGCAGTTCTCTTTCTCTTCTCTGTTTTTTAAATCAAATTTTGGCCTAATTAAAAGGGGCATTTCACCAATTTCTGTTCAGTGATGTGTGAAGGGAAATCTTCTGGGAGAGGGGGCTCTTTTAGGAATAAAAACATGGCTAGAAGAGCCTCTTTTCTTCTGATGGTTATTATTTCTGTATGAGACACCAGGAACTGTAGCAAGACAATGGCAGAACAAAAACGTGAGGAAAAAATCTGGTACTTGGTGACATCACTGAGCTACTGAATTAACTCAGTCTGTGTCCTTTGAACTTCCTCATATGTGAAATAATAAATTCCCTTATTAGTTAAGACTGGATTGGGTTTTCTGTTGTTCACAATCAAAAGGAATCTAACAGATGCAGTTGCTCAGTAAATACTGATACATTCTCTCTGCCTATTCTTTCTACTGTTTCCATAGCCAACCTCAGTCACCTGACTGACTTCTGTTTGTCCTTCTTTTTTTTTTTTTAGAGAGAGAGAGTATATGCATGCTAGAGCAGGGGCAAGGGGGTAGAGTGGGGTGGGGGGAGGGGCAGGGGGAGAGAGAGACTCTCCAGCAGGCTCCAGGCTCAGCACGGAACCTGACATGGGGCTCGATCTCATGACCCGAGATCATGACCTGAGTCAAAATCAAGAGTCAGATGCTTAACCAACTGAGCCCTCAGGCACCCCATGTCTGTCCTTCTAATAGCAGTTTAATGTCACCTCTACCAAGAAATTTTCTTTGACTATACTCTCTCTCCCCCTAGGCTGTATCAGGGTACCCTTGCAGATTACTAGGGTTCCTTTGTGTTAACCTAAGCATTTCATTTCTACCATTGTACTTGCCTATTGACTTGCTGTTTGCTCCTCAACTGTGAGCTCCCAGGAGGGCAGGGACTGTGTCCATCTTGATTCCCATTGTATCCCCAGTTCCTAGGGCTTTGCTCTGTGTTCCAAATGATCAGTATATGCTTGTTGAATAAACAATGAATGAATGAATGACTGTGAAGATGTTCACAGAGCTCTCCTGCCCCATCTTACTTAGGTGAGTACTTCCAGTGGCCTTTCAGGATGTTTTTTTGGTGGGTCACTTGCTGAATAAACGTTCAGTCCTTCTGTAGTTACTTAAATCTCCTTAGCTGGTTATTTCGTTACTCCTAGTCAATCTGGGAGTCCTGGTTTGGATTCAGACAGATCCTTGTTTAAGATCTCTCCTCTGTCATTTACTTGTGACCTTGGGAGATTTTCTTAATGCTTGGGAACTTTAGTTTTACCATCTGTAAAATGGGGCTGATGGCAACACCCTATCTCATGAGGTTATGGTGAGAGTAGAAACGAATGTAGATAAAATGTTTTACTCAGCATCCATAATATACTAGGTGCTCAATTATGTTCTCAATTATGATTACTGTGAAGCTTTGTGCCAGTCCTGAGGGCTGGGGATGGAGACATGAGTAATTCTAGAATTGTAGAGGGCTGACATTTTATGCCCTTCATTATAGAGGAAGAAAGAACCCAGGGCTTCCACCTAGCATTTCCAATGATTATGTTTTTCCATAAATAGTATTTAAAAAGTCCCAAATGTAAGAATGTTTGAGTCTAGCCCAAGAATGTATGTTATGTTCTTTTAAAGGAAATGTCAACAGAATATTGGGTGACAACCAGTCTCACGCTGATCTTTCAAACAAAGCAAAGAGGGCATTCCATGGAAAATATTTATAAAGAACCTTATCTGAAGGAAATTAGCCTCAAGTTTCCTTCTAATTCAGAGTACAGGGGGTTCAGATCATTAGACGTAACAAGACTTTGGGAATGAGGACTCTATGAGCCAAAAAGCTCTGGAGCAGTGCATGGGGGAGTGGGGGGTTACAAAGGCAGCCTGGCCTGGTGGGGGCACTCATCATGGTCCAGAATCTACCTCCACCTTGCCCAGGTTGACATCTCCAAATCTCAGTTTTCCCATTTGTAAATGGGCATCATGACAGGTAGCCATCTAACAAGAGAGATGTGAGGAGTTAGTATGCACGGCATACTTGGCAGAGTGCCTTGCACATGGGAAGTCACCAGTGAAGGTCTATCCCTCCTCCTCCACCTTTCCTCTTCTTCCTCAGTGACCATGCTATTACTACTGCCTTAACTATTATTACTTCCTTAATTACTACTGCTACTTCTATTACTATGAATTCTTCTGTTACCCATATATTTCTTTTACTACTAGCTCTATTACTTCTCTATTACTACTACTTCTATTCTTTTTTTTTTAAAAAGATTTATTTATTCATTTGAGAGAGCGAGAATGAGAGAGAGTACATGAGAGGGGGGAGGGTCAGAGGGAGAAGCAGGCTCCTCGCTGAGCAGGGAGCCCGATGCGGGACTCGATCCCGGGACTCCAGGATCATGACCTGAGCCGAAGGCAGTTGCTTAACCAACTGAGCCACCCAGGCGCCCCTACTACTTCTATTCTACACTACTGTTATTACTGTGGTTTCTTCTAGTAGTATTATTTCTTTTATTACTACTATTACTATTTTTTCCCTCTTCCTCCTCCTTTTTTCCTCCTTCTTCTATTACTACTATGACTTCTACTACTCTATTACTGCTATTACTTTTACTACTTTTATTGACACCATTACTTCTATTACTATTACTACTTCCTTAATTTTTATTTTATTTATTTATTAAATTAAATTAAATTTTATTTTATTATGTTATGTTAGTTACCATATCATACATCATTAGTTTTTGATGTAGTGATCCACGATTCACTGTTTTCATATAACACCCAGTGCTCCATGCAGTATGTGTCCTCCGTAATACCCATCACTGGGCTAACCCATCCCCCCAACCTCCTCCCCTTTAAAACCCTCAGTTTGTTTCTCGGAGTCCATAGTCTCTCATGGTTCGTCTCTCCCTCCAATATCCCCCCCTTCATTTTCCCCTTCCTTCTCCTAATGTCCTCCATGCTATTCCTTATGTTCCACAAATAAGTGAAACCATATGATAATTGACTTTCTCTGCTTGACTTATTTCACTTAGCATAATCTCCTCCGGTCCCATCCGTGTTGATGTAAAAGTCAGGTATTCATCCTTTCTGATGGCTAAGTAATATTCCATTGTATATATGGACCACATCTTTTTTATCCATTCATCTGTTGAAAGGCATCTCGGCTCTTTCCACAGTTTGGCTATTGTGGACATTGCTGTTATGAACATTGGGGTGCATGTGGCCCTTCTTTTCACTACATCTGTGTCTTTGGGGTAAATACCCAGTAGTGCAATTGCTGGGTCATAGTGTAGCTCTATTTTTAATTTTTTTGAGGCACTTCCACACTGTTTTCCAAAGTGGCTGTACCAACTTTCATTCTCACCAACAGTGTAAGAGGGTTCCCCTTTCTCCACAACCTCTCCAACATTTGTTGTTTCTTGCTCTGTCAATTTTTGCCATTCTAACTGGTGTAAGGTGGTATCTCAATGTGGTTTTGATTTGAATTTCCCTGATGGCTAATGATGATGAACATTTTTTCATATGTCTGTTAGCCATTTGTATGTCTTCTTCAGAGAAGTGTCTGTTTATGTCTTCTGCCCATTTTTTGACTTGATTATTTTTTTTTGGGTGTTAAATTTGAGAAGTTCTTTATACATCTTGCATACCAGCCCTTTATCTATAGTGTCACTTGCAAATATCATCTCACATTCTGTGGGTTGCCTCTGTTTTGTTGACTGTTTCCTTTGCTGTGCAGAAGCTTTTTATCTTGATGAAGTCCCAAAAGTTCATTTTTGCTTTTGTTTCACTAGCCTTTGAAATTGTATCTTGAAAGAAGTTGCTGTGGCCAATGTCAAAGAGGTTACTGCCTATGTTCTCCTCTAGGATTTTGATGGATTCCTGTCTCACATTGAGGTCTTTCACCCATTTTGAGTTTATCTTTGTGTATGGTGTTAGAGAATGGTCGAGTTTCATTCTTCTGCATGTGGCTGTCCAATTTTCCTAGCACCATTTATTGAAGAGACTGTCTTTTTTCCATTGCATATTTTTTCCTGCTTTGTTGAAGATTATTTGACCATAGATTTGAGGGTCCATATCTGGGCTCTTTATTCTGTTCCATTGGTCTATATGTCTGTTTTTGTGCCAGTACCATGCTGTCTTGGTGAGCACTGCTTTGTAATATAGCTTGAAATCAGGCAACATGATGCCCCCAGCTTTGTTTTTCTTTTTCAACATTTCCTTGGTGATTCGGGGTTTCCTCTGCTTCTATACAAATTTTAGGATTATTTGTTCTAGCACTTTGAAAAAAGTCATTGGAGTTTTGATCGGGATGGCATTGAAGGTATAGATTGCTCTGGGTAGCTTAGACATTTTAAAAATGTTTATTCTTCCGATCCATGAACATGGAATGTTTTTCCATATTTTTGTGTCTTGTTAATTTCTTTCATGAGTGTTCTGTAGTTCCTAGAGTATAGATCCTTTACCTCTTTGGTTAGGTTTATTCTGAGGTATCTTATGGTTTTTGGTGCTATTGTAAATGGAACTGTTTCTCTAATTTCTTTTTCTACAGTTGCATTGTTAGTGTATAAGAAAGCAACTGATTTCTGTGCATCGATTTTGTATCCTGCCACATTACTGAATTGCTGTATGAGTTCTAGTAATTTGGGGGTGGAGTCTTTTGGATTTTCCACATA